TGTCCCGCATAAAAAAACTACAAGAAGAAACAAGTATAAATGTACTTGCTTCACACAAATCCATTTCAAGAAGGGTTCCCTCGACGGTTAAAACACCAAAGGAAAAGGCAATCATCTATTATCAGATAAACCGTTAGAAGAGATTTCTTTTTCACATCTTATTTATTTTGCTTCGGACTAAAACAGATAAGGAACCTTCAGGCAGGGTACTTTCCTTTAAAAAAAAAAAAAAAAAAAAAAAAAAAATCTCATCCAATAGGGTGTGTGCAATATTAGAAGCATACAAGCATACTCAGTCGAAGTAGAATAAAAGTAACACAGTTTAAGAAACAAGGTTATATCATTCATGTTTATCATTCTCAATGTTATTTCATTACAAAAGAAAAAAGGAAAAAAGTCACTCGATCCTACTTCCTCTTCGGATCAAACGGGGCAGATTCGAAAGCATCTACCACAGCTGGACTTGCAGGTGGAGGAATTGAAGGAGCAGGAGTTACAGGAGTTGATGAGCTTGGAGGATCTTCCGGGTGAGCCTTCACCATTTCAGCAAAAAACACCTCAGCCTCCTGAGCCTTCAAACCCTCGCTGTAAGGGAAAGACACCCCCATGTTCACATCAAAGGCATCAGGATCCATCGTTTTGGGGCCTGAGCCTTGATTGTAGCCGGACCGGTAAGCTTTTGCACTCGACAAGCGCACCAAATTGGAGTAACGACCTTGCATCTGCCTCCCGGCAATGATGCTGGTGCTAAGGGTATCATTCAAACGCTGGACTTCAGCCTCCAACGACTCAACTCTTGCATCAGAAGCAGCCAAACACTTCTTATAAACATCCCGAGCCTCATATGCAATTTGTGCATTGGCAATGGCATGGGATGCCTTCTTCTCAGAATTGCTGAGGTCTTTCTCCAACTTCTTAAGAGAAAGAGACTGAGCCTCAGCAGTGGCACAGAGGGCCATAGTGTGATACAAGCCCTGCATCATGAGACAATAACAATGTAAGAAAATTTGTAAGACAATTATGACAATGGAAACGAAGGAAGAAGCCAAACCTTTATGGCTCGAACAGGGGCAGATGGAAGTAGCTGTTCCAACCCTATTCTGCCAATAATTTCTTCATCCTTGGGGAGCCACATTCCCTGAGCGACGGCCAGCGCTGCAGATGAGTCAGTGATCATAGAATCACCAACATGGAGAATGGACTTGTCAGCCCTCGAGAAAGAAGGAGTCCAAGGTGCTCCAGCCTCAGCAAGGACATAAGCACTGACCTCATCTTCGGGGTTAATCTCTTCAGCTTTCTTCCCTTTGCTTTTTGGGTTGGAAGCACCCTTGGGTTTCGTGGTTGAAGAAGGGTTCAGCTTCGCCTTTTTGTTCAAGGAGACTTCGTTAATCTCTTTCTCCTGTTCATTTGAGCGCAATATAGTCAACGGGGCACTCTCTGTAGCCTTCCTCTTCAAGGCTTCAGCCCTCTGTTTTTCTTCATAGAAGTGAGAGGTCAATGAGATCAGCGGCTACAGCTCTGGAAGCAACTGCTTTAAGATTTGCATAAGTAAGCAAGTTCTCAACCGAAGGAGGGTCGTTCCAAACCTGCCCTTCTAGGAAGGAAAACCTCTTCTTGGCAGCCGAAGAAGGAAATGTCGCTGAAAAAACACCAAGAAACTCGTAAATATATCGAAAGAATAAGACTCGACGTGGGAAACAGTCAGAACAATTTTCATGAAGAAAGGGGGGATGTTCTATACCTAACTTCCCGAACTTGCGAGGGATTGGGAGTTTGCTCGATTGGGGCACGACCCATCTCCCTTTAACGATTATCATCCTCTCTTTCCACTTCTTCTTAGAAGTAGGGAGGTCTGTACATATCCTTTGGTGCAAGGGGAAGGTGAAAAAGAAACGACCAGGTTCGGTCCCGTGCTTAGAAATGGAATAAGCAATCAGCAAGTCAGCCAGAGTCAGATTAAGAGTCTCCAGCCATCGGCGGATGAGAAGTGCCGAGATTACACGAAGGAAGTTAGGGTTTACTTGTAGGAGTGCAATCCCTAATTTGTTAAAGACTAGGTGGTAGAAAAGATAAAGGGGGAACCTAAGAGCGTTGAGACGCCCAATAGAGAGGAGCAACTCGACCTCTCCGACGCCCTCGCCGGCGCAAAAATCGGCGCCTTTGGGGTATTCCGTAATTTTAACCCCCTTGGGAATCTCAAACTCTTCCATTACGGATTCAATGGAAAACGGGATACGACGAATGGATAAAATTGCATTCCTTTCTTCCTTAGTGAAGATATTGTCTGACCCAGAGGTGGATGTTTCAGCCTGGATCGTGGAAGCATCCGGCTGATTAACCGAGTCATTTGCAGGTTTAGGGAAGTTCGAAACCCTAGGAGGGGGAACCCTAATGGGATTAGGGGAAGACGAGGGTGTGGACTCAGAATCTACGATCTCTATACGCTCAGGAGTAGTTGAAGTACTCATAATGTAAGATTGGAAGAAGGGAAAGAAGAACTAACCTGGAGCTATGAGAGTATGAAGAACGCAGTAGACAGAATGAGCACACTGAGAACAAAAGCGAGTCTTGAAGAAGCCTTTGAGTCAGAATAACAATAGACGCAAATGGAAACACCTCGTGCAAGAATGGCAATTACACGATTTCAATTCCCCTTTAATTAGGAGCCGTAACCCAATTAAAGTGGAATTGAGGGCAAAGTGTGGAGGGAAAAATTTTCCTCCAATAAGAATGAGACACGTCACCATTATACAAATCTGCAGTTAGGAGATCTCATAAGCCCATCCAGATCAAGCCCAACTTACGTTGTGCTTTAACCCATTATCATTTATGTTGGGCCTCCAAAGTCAGACAAAAGTACTGATCAGGCCAACATCACCGCTGCTGAAGTTTTGACCCATTAGTCAAGTCACTTACACCAAACCGCATCGGCCCAAGTATAATTAAATATGGCTCAGTCCTATTTAACAAAGGAGTCAACTCGGATGGAAAGTTTTTATACAAAACAAATTCTACATCGGAAATATCATACAATGGAAAGAACTCTATTTATAAAGAAAGTCATAAATGGAAAGAATTGGAGGACAAGCAACGCGAGTCCTACCATAATTCTACCAACTTTTGTGTATAAATAGAGGTCTAGACCTCCAATAAAGGGCAAACAATTCAATTCTTCAATAGACACTGTTCTTGTTTATTCTTATTGTTCGTTGAGTGTGTTATATCATTTTCTCTCGATTGTAATTGGTTGAGCGAAATTTTACACCTACAACCCCCTACTTCCTTCTTTTATACTAATATTAGAGATAATTTCTTTAAAAAAACAAATTATTTTAAGAAGGTAAGTTCCTCATAGATCTTTTATTTACATGATTTTCTATGAATCCAACATTTTATCTCTATTTTCACACATAAGTTTTAACTATATTTTTCAATTTATGTTTAGAAATTGGAATTTTTAAAGGGACATGCCTATGATAAACTTACCTTCATAATTTGAAAAACATGGTAGTTTTGTTTTAACACCCAGTTAATCAACCACCATCAAATGGACAACTTTTGTTAACCTACTCCTTGTATCACAGCATCTTGATTACATTTCCAGTACATAATTGGTTCTCATATGCTACAAAATTTAGATTATGTTCCTTCAAATGTCAATCCCTTGCATCATTTCTTTACACCTACAGATTTTGTTACAGAAATATCATTTCAAGAAGCCCAATTATGAATCACTTAAAATGTTGATCACGACATTAATTTCATCAATAGAAGACAAAACGTGTCACCTTAATTAGACAAATGGAACTCTAAAAGCTAATATAGGCAAGGATGACATATTTAGTGTGAGTGAATGGAATCAAATGAAGTTGGAACGAAATGTTTTTGTTTTCATTTTTTTGTTTAGCGTGTCACATTAAAAGTAGAATGACCATTCCAAAGCATTCACAGGGAATACCCATTCCTCTTCTTGAGGAGTGAAATGACCATTCTATTCCCACCAAGAATTAATAAAGTAATTTAAAAACAAAAAATACCATTTGCCTTGTGTTAACACAGACTCTCACCATCTCTCATTTCAAGCATACACACACTATTTAATATATATAATATGTATCTATATGCAGTATGTTCCCTCTCTCCGATTTACACAAGGATGAGACAAGAACAGTATAATTGAACTTCTATGAGCTTATGCAACTTTCTTAGTAATTGTCTAGCAATAATTATTTATTTATTTATTATTTTTTAGTCTCTAATGTTATGATAATTATGGTTTTCATCTGTTGGAGAAAAATGAAATGTCATGTGTATGTTGTTTCAGGAATCCAATTCCATCACTGGAGAAATTTGGCAATCTCCTTGTCCTTTTGGAATGAGTTAAAGGCATTGGGTTATTACTTTTTTGGGTGTGCAGAAAATAGACAATTTTATAAAAGAATTTATAAAACAACATACACATGACATGAATTATCCAGTGATGAAACGAACTGAAATGGCAGCAACTATGAATAATCTGGACCAATTTACTAAAAGTCATCGGAGAATGTCGCCGGAGAAGATGATCGGAAAATGATCTCTCCCTTTTATTTTTTTGCAGCCGTAGAGGAGCCATCTATTTCTTTTTTCTCATCTATATTCTTTCTCTATCTTGAAGCCCTCTATTTCTTTTTTCTCGTCTATTTTCTCTTTATCTCGTTTATTTTCTCTCTCTATTGTCTCTTTTCCTTTTATTTTTATAGATTAATTTTTTTAGTTAATTTTTTTTTTTTTACTAATAATAAAACGTAATTTAAAGAAACAATATAAATTCATTCCATTCCAACTTTCTTACCAAACACAGAAATGAGAATGAGCATTCCATTTGTACACATTCCATGTTTGCAACCAAACGGTTGAATAAGAATTATCATTCCCATTCCATTCTCTTCTCATTCCATTCCCACCTCAATTCCCATTCCATTCCAATTCATTCCACCACACCAAACATGCCCTTATGGTTTACCCCAAAAACAAAAATCATATTACTCTTTTTCATCTCTTTCGTTCCAAAGCTGACAATAGGCTACACAAGTGGGGTAGCCCTCCCTAATTCAAAATAACTTCTCACCTGGAGTGGACATATATATTAAGAACTTTTGTGCATGCGTACATGGCATGCAAAACGCGAGGGGGGTAGAGATCAAATTGAAGTACAATACTGTAAAAGCGCCATAATTACAATATCAAATCATTAAATTACAACAAGAAAGAGCGGTTGTGAGACTCCGAAATAGAATCTCAAAACTTTGGGTGCCTGCCTTAATTCACACATATGGTACACTAAAATACAATGCACCTAATCCTTGGCGAATACCTTGCAGATGGTCATGAGGTGTTTGCCCACTTGAGAGGCGAAGGATATCACCATGCATTCTAATCATTTTATTTCAACTTCTCTCCTCTTTCTTCACCAAAGCATTCATTTTCTTTTCCAGCTGCAAAGCATAAAAAGGTAAAAGACACCCCAATCAGAATGCTACTACAACTACCAAGTGCCAAAACCAATGCAAGGCTGAAAGGTAATCCAGAAATCAGTTCCGTACAACTGAACACATTCAAACCAGTCTAACACTATCATATCACATAACAAATTTCAGTATAAAGTTAACGTACCATTTGTAGAACCTAAAACCTTTAAAACTTGACAAACTTGAACATATATCTATTTTGCTAGGCAAGATTCAAATGGTTTACCAATCCCACTCCACTTTTCTAATACATATTTGTGTTACAAAAACCTATTCATGTGCCACAACCTCCAAGAATGACCAAGGTATCAAAACAAAAGTGAACATATTTTTCTGTCTCCCCCACCCCACCCCACCCCATCATGCAGCCAGTAAGTCCATGACATGGCAATAACACAACCTTTTATTTCTTTAACGACAAATAGATACAGACCTGAGCATTTTTCATCTTCTGTCTCTGCAATTCTTCAACTAGACTCCCAACACTGAGATTTCAAACTAGTTCAGTTAAAAATCGAAAGACCACGTGCAATAAGAAAACACCAGATACAATTTAATACCTTTGTTGCAATTGAATCAGCTGAGACTGCAGCTCCCTCTCCCTAGCAGGAACTGAAGCTATCTGAAATATCCAAATTTAACATTTATCTAATAGAACAGTGGGGAATTGTTGTCTGAACACACAACAAGAAGTAACTGTTCTCTGCAGGAGTTGGATTGTCAAATTTGTTCCCAAAAAGAGAATGATGATTGGCAGGAAAATAAAAGAAAAGAGAGACATGAAAAAGAAAGGCAGGTTCAAAAATGCAAGCCACATCATACATTTTTCACAAATGCAAAGGCAGGTTCAAAAATGCAAGCCACATCATACATTTTTCACAAATGCACAAAGTGGCTGCTATATTGTAATATTTTCATTTTTCTGTGGGTCTCATATAGTTGGTATATATTTATTTGTGTGGTGTAAAGAAAATGAAAAGAGATAAAAAGAAAATAAAAGAAAATGGTGGAGCCCACATGCCTTTTAAAAATAAGGCCAAGAGGCCATTTTGATCACACAATCTCTCTCTCTTTTCTCTCTCCCGTAACCCTTTTCCTCTCTTTCCTTTTCTATATATATATATATATTTTTTTTTGGGGACCAAGGATGTTTTAGGGAAAGGGAATGGGGAAAAGTAACGATGTTGAACTTGGGGTATGGAGTTTTCTTGTTTGGATGCGTAGATCACTTAGAAAGAGTGGTTTGATGTTGTCAGTTAAGCGTTAATGATTGATGGCATCGTTGATGGTATTGAGGTGACTGGAAAGCTTTTAGGTTGATTGATGATTGTGGTATTGGCGTTGTGTTACTTTTAACTTGTTATGATTAAAGTATGATTGGAATTTTTATAATAGGTATGTGACTATATAACCGTTGTGGTTGCGTAGAGAGATGAATTGATAGTAAATGAATCTCATGGTTGTTGAGGTTACGTATAGTGATGGATGGATAGTGAGTGGATCTCATTGTTAATTTGTGTACTGTGTAAGATTGTACTCGAGGTCTGGACCTGAGGACAGGAACAACGTCTGTGTTGAGATTGGATCGATGACGAGAATGGCTTGGCCAACCATTTTTTTCTGAATCAGTCCCTCTTTAACATGATGTCGAGTCAAAGGTCCATGATTGTTTTGGTTGTTAGGGACAATGAGAGTACGGTATTGCGGGTTGTGTCGGCGTGACAGTGTGGATTCAGGTGGTCTGTCTTGGGTGATGAGGTGTGTTAGGTGGAACCAAGTGTCCAATTTGTTTGGTTATTGAAGATCTTGTTTTGAGGATTTTGTCCTGAGTACAAGATAGTGGGCTTTACTGATTTGGTGACTAATGTTTATGCAGGCATTGGGAGATTCATTATTTTGTCGTTTTGAGGTTGTTAAGTGTAATGGTTGCAGAATGGTGCGGTTGATGGTTACTTGTACTGATATATAATGGTGTAGTTATATGTTAGATAGCGAGTGTTTGGTCTGATGGAGATGTATAAATTGAGATTTTGTGCGTTCTTTAAAGGGTGAGTTGAGGTTGGATGTTGTCTTTTTTGGTGGTCTGATGACTGTTCTTTTTTTTTTTGGCATTGGAGCCTTTCGCAGCAGTGTAGAGTGGACCGATGTCCGTTTTGAGTCAGGCGTAAGGTCTTGTAGTCTTTTGTTTTGATGAGTACCCTCATAGGGTGGTGAGCATCGGTTTTATGGGAATGGGTTCTGATTTGCCTGGTGACGTCCGGTGTCAAAAGTGATGATGTTGGTGAGTCCATGGTTTTGGAATTTAGTGAGCTGTTCTTGAGAAGGTGTGTGGCTGTGGGTCTCCTTCTTTAAGATTGCGAGGACGAAATCTCTTTAAGGAGGGTAGATTGTAATATTTTTATTTTTATGTGGGTCTCATATAGTTGGTATATATTTATTTGTGTGGTGTAAAGAAAATGAAAAGAGATAAAAAGAAAATAAAAGAAAATGGTGGGGCCCACATGCCTTTTAAAAATAAGGCCAAGAGGCCATTTTGATCACACAATCTCTCTCTCTCTTTTCTCTCCCCCGTAACTCTTTTCCTCTCTTTCCTTTTCTAGATTTCTTTTTTCTTTTTGTCTCAAACTTCCAAATTTGATTTGTCTTTTAATTTTGAGTGCCGTTTGCGGCAAATTGAAGCTCACGACGAGATCTATAAGTTGATCGGAGCAATTTCTAGTTTGGTACACTCCTTGATTTTCGAAATTTAGGGCATCAATTTGGGAGTTTTGCATAATCTTGAGGTAGGGGTTCTTAATTCCCAATTTCTTGTTCCCTTGTGAATTTCCTTTAATTATTTGTTATCAAGCATGCTTTATTTGAATTGATTGCTTGAAAAATGATATAGAGTTGTTGTATTTGAAGTTTATGCTTATATGTGTTGATAAAATTATGTGAAAAGCATGCTTAGATGTTAATTTCCATGCCTACGGTGTTTATTAATTCTCTAGACATTGCTATAAAGGAGCATGTTAAATTGTGTAGTGTGAAATTTTCTTATTCTCATATTATTGAAAAAAAATAATAATAATAAAAATAAAAATAAAAATATGTGACATGCATTCATAGCATTGGGCATGAATGAAAAGGGCAAAGTGTTTTGAAATAAAAGTGAAAGGGATTTTTGGGAAAAGTTTTGATTAAAGTGGTCTTGTGAAAACTCGACCGCCTAGGAGTTGCCTAAGGACCGTGGGGTTAACGTGACCTAGAGGAAACTAGGGAAACTGTTCTAGCGTGGTTGAGTTAACTGGCCCCAAATGACGCCCTGGAGTTGCCTTGTGGTCAGGGACAGTTAGCCAATCCTTCTCTCGTGCCGCCATGGAGTTGCCATGGGACAGTTGCATTAACGGTTTGGAAATGATGGCAGAAATGTTTTTGTAAAATGGGGAGTGACATTGCATCCCATTGCACAGCATAATTTAATTATGACTTGGATTGTCAAATTTGTTGCTATGTTTACCCCAGTGTGGTATGATCCCGCTTCTTTATTTTTTCTATTCATTGTGTGGATTCATGAGGTCACAAGAGGTGTGTCTTAGGCACCACCTACTAAGCAATTTGCTCACCCCTTATATTTAATATTTTTCAGGACATGGAAGGGAAGTGGCAGACGATGCTCCTCCACTGGGTTCGATGGGTTAGTAGACCGTTTTGGCATACTTTGTAGCTATGATTTCATTTTATTATTTATTCATTCATTTATTATTATTATTTTTTTATAAACCTTGGGATGACACATATATTATGTATTGACATAGGAAATGATAGTAGTGCCCTTAGTTGACCTCAGGTTCAGGTAAGGACCCGGTTAGCGATTTTGAACCATCGGGTTCGGGTCGTTACATATATCATAAAAATAAAAATACTGGCCAAGTCTTGGGAACATCAAGCTAAAACGTACCTCTTAAAGAATACACATTAATCTTTTCTCGACTATAAAGCATCATTAATTCATAATGGCCAATTATTAACTCAAAAAGTAAAATAATAGACTTACACTTGATATATGACAAATATATATAGCTAGCAGAATTCAAAAGATTCTTTAATATTAAATAATAAAAAAGATTCTTTAATGAATATGTACTCTAATACCTGTTGAAGGCCATTAGTTCCCGCCTCAGAGAAGTCCATGGAATTTGCTGTACCAAGAAATGCAAGTCAGATACAACAGATATGTTTTCACCAATAAGATGGTATACACGTTAATGATCAAAGACGAAAGGAATTACCAGAGGTTTGCTCCACATACTTGATAAGTTTAACTATTTCTTCCTTTCAACATCAATGAAGAATAATTCAGAAACAGTCAATGTCATGTATGCATAAAAGTTGAGAAAAATATTAGATGCATACCCTTTGCATGGTGTTCTGCTGCAAAATGCATTGCAATGATGGCAGAACTGAAGTAGCTGAAATGCTTGAGCTTGTCGGACTGGTAAAACCTCCAGAAACTGGATTTAAGTAGCAGTTTGTAGGACCCTGTATTTGAGATAATAAAGGCAATGGTTATAAAGCCATTGCCTAAAAAGATAAATTACCAAGTTCCACCCTTATCATTAATAAAGACAAACAGCATAACAAAAGACAATCCAAGAACAATGAAAGCGAAGACAAAAACCTCAAAGGACAACTAGCAATGACCCAATAGCAACAACATTCAAATCAAACTCAGTATTGCAGCATTGTTGCTGGAAGGTCAACTCTTGTGATATGGAAAACTAAGTTATAACAGGTGCAAGGCAGTTTAACAAGACAGTGGAAACTTCCGAAAAAGACACCATGGTATATGATGTATCAAAAGGAAGACATCTTAATGTTTTCCTAAAAGCTTTTTGCACAGCTTCGTTCTACTGAACATCAAACCGTGTAACGCAAGGAAATCACCTTGTTACTAATTTTCAACAATATATCATTATATCTAAAAAAATCCAGACAAATGCAACAGAATAGACTAGTGATCTAATTTGGTTAGCATTTAATAAAAGTAGAGGTTCCTAAATTTAAGCAGAAGAGGATTAAATATGTAAGTGTACTGCAGAAAAAGGTTTAACTACACCAAACCGGCGAAGTCGTGGAATGAGTACCAAAAGGAATCACAAATGGAAAACTTCAGGACAGGAAAGCAGCACAGTCGTCAAGTAAATTAGAAGCTGAAACGGACTGACTTGACCAATGCCATTACCTAAAGTTGAACCCACATTACAGGGTGCTGGGATATGTGGGTTGATTTGAGTACCTGACTATTATAATAACATCTTACTGCAAACATACCTTAGGACTCAACTCTGCTGAAGCTGAAGTGACACTAAAGCGTCCCTTGCGCTGGACAACTGCTCCTTCTGAAGCATCATCCGCTGCATAAACAGATGGCACAAGCAAAAGAGACTTGTCATAAATTGGACAAAAAAAAAAAAAAAAAAAAAGGACCCTGTTTTATAGTAATCCACATGAACAAATTAAGAAACCAGAGAAATTACCAGATGCAAGGTTATTGGCATCTTTCTTTTGACGATGCAATGGGCCACTATAATTTCGCTCATATCTTGGTTGCAAATGTTCCCTTCAGATTATTTTAAAAATATGTTACTATGATCTAAAACACAGTCTTTCTCATAAGTGCACATCATCCAAACAAATCAAAGCCAAAACACAGAATATCAACAGTCAAACCACTGAGGCACAATCCAAATACAATGCAACCCAATAATCCAACAACTCATACGGGGTTCTGCGGTTGCTTGTCAACTTTCATGGTCATTTAATTTATTGTAGTAGTAAAAGATGGGAGGGAGAGGCTCTAAGACTTCAAATCTTTTATCTTCTAACAAATCTAAAGTTTCAAATTAAGATAAGAGTACATGAGAATTAAAGTTGAATGTTGTGGCTTTACTCTAGGGATAAAATTATTTCTAGTTTTGCATTGTATGTAGAGCAACCATATTGTTCATTTTCTAGAACAAAACGTAGGAACTTCCGATTTTTTAGAAATTGAACGTTAGTCGTTGAATAAGTGACTCACTTGGACAAGTTCCAAGATAAGAGAAGTTAAGAAACCCACATCCTTCTATCAAGAAATATTGGGTATATCCTCCCAATCACTGGTACGACGCTACTATAATTTAGACACTTCTCAAGAAGTAACGACTTTAATTTGCACTATATTGGTTTGAGAATAAATCAGTAAAATCATTACAACCAAATCTCATTAATTAAATAAATAAATAATGGAAAGAAAAAAGGAGAAAGATATCATTCACTAAACATGATAAACATCCAATCTTCACATCCAACAGTTGCATGATTCCAGTTTTATAAGGAAAAAAAACAAATGGCATTAATGTTTTCAACAAATCATATCTTTTAGAACTTCGAACATTGCATTTGGACAGGTCGAACTGCAGTCTTAGAAACCCTACCATACTAACCCATTATCATTCCTCAAGATACACAAGTTTACTTTTGAACAATTAAGTTGTCATAGAGCCACATTGCAACAGTAAAGTCTGAATTTGACATCCTGAATTTACAAGATGGCAGGAAATGAGATACATTTAAGACTTTCTCCAATCCTCTCGCAAGAGCTAAAACTTATCCACAAAACAAGATAGTTCATTCAAAGGAAAATATTTAGAACAATAAAAAGCTAATATCCTCCAAAAATTTCCTGCAATCTTGCAGTTCATCTTCTTGTAATTATACCTCTAGAAATGAAAATATATTTGAAGAGCAAATAATGGAAACACCATTACAAGAACGTATGATAATTACATTGCAGATGAAATAATCCCTGATAGATAATACATTTACATTATCTCGTTTTTACTTCAAAATATATCGATTTCCATCAAAACTGATCAGCTAAATTCAACATAAAAGACCAAAAACGAAAAAACAATATGTTTCCCATTTAAGAGTTGAACGGGAAATCAAGGATAAATTTAACACCAGAAAAGTATAAATTTACCTGTCCCCATCACCAATAACCTTCTTAGGCGAAATAAAGTTGTCCTGTAATATTGAACCGCTCAAGAATTTTTCCCGTCCAGGAACTAAAGAACGTGATAAAGAACTATTTTGTCCCAATTTTTCACCATCATCTCTTACAGCTTCTTGGTGCTCAGCTTTTTGTATTCGACTCTGCTGTTCAAACTCTGAATGAAAATCATCTTTCCAAGTTGGACTGCAAGCAGCTGCATCGTCCTCACAAACATCAAAACAACCTCTGCATTGAAATACACAGTTGCATAAATAGAGAAATCAAAAGGTACTTAAGATATTTGATTTTCTTTCTTTTCTTTTTTTTTTCACTGGAAGTAGGAGCCATTGCATTGTGCTGCAGTAAGACCTTGTGCTGCCAGGTGTGAGAATGCGGATTTGAGTCTTAGGCAGCCACTTTATTATCCCTCTTAGCTCCCTCTATTAAGAGGGGCAAAGCTTCCTGGAAGTGGTGCATGCACAACACAAATGATACAAACCCATGCAAAGTGGCAGTTTATATTGTTTGGAATTACAATTTACTATTACATTTATTTATCTTTTAATGTTGAAGCATGTCAAATGAGTATTTCAAAGCTTTCTATTCTGTAATAATCTATTTATGTATTTACTTTATATTTGCATTTACAGCATAAACCAAAAAAGGCATTACCCAATGCTGCTACCGCCTTCGTGTAGTAGTAGATGGAAAAGTTTGGAAATAGAACTAACCTAGCAGGCTAGCACGGATATGCCTAAAAGGTCAAGAGGTCCGTGTCGGACATGGACATGCGTTGGACACGAACTAAGCTTGCCGTGTGATATGGACATGCTGCACACATGCCAACAAGCTGTTGACATGCCGTGGACACGCGCCTGATTAAAATGGGTTTTAGAAAAAAGATCATTAAGGGAAAATGTCGAATCTTGCACTCTTTTGCAACCAAGCTTTGAACTTGTAACGGATCAACAAAGCTTGACTGTCAGTGAGCCTCCTCCTTCAATGAATCCTCTCTGTGTATTTTTTTCTTTCCTTTTTATCCTCTTTCTTCCTATCACAAACCCTTCGTACTCTACGGGTTATTTCTTTTATTATCGATAAAGCTCTATTCTTTCTCAACAAAACCTTAATCTTCCTTATTTCTTTTATTTTTTTCTCTTAACAGTGTTTCTCTCTCTCTCTCCGCTCTAAAATTCTATTTCCTTCTCTTAGAAAAGGTTCAGAAATTCTACTTCATTCTATTCTCTCTCTTTTTTTCCATTTTCCATTCATTCTCTATACAACTACTCTGTCTGTCCCAAAAAAGTCACAGTTCCCCAAAAGGGACATTTTTTAGGGACAGGGGGAGTATAATCTATTGTTTAGTTGTGGCTATAGGTACAAGAAGTTTTATGAAGGGAGTTCAGAAATTATAACCCAGCCCATTCTCTCTTCTTTTTTCTCTTCTTCAATGAGAGAATCGTAGTTGTAGTTTAGTTACTGTGATATATGATAAGTAATATTAGTCTAATAATATATTGTCACATGTATAAAAGTATATATTTAATATTTGTGTTCCCAACATGTCCGTGACTTAATTTTTTAGGATTTGCTGTGTTGCCGGGTACATGTCGTGTCGTATCCGTATCTGGGCTTCTTAGCCTATGGCACTATTATGCAAAGTGAATACTGTCAGACTCAAAACTGCATCCTCACACTTGTTAGGCTGAGCTTTTATCATTGCATCAATAAATAGTCCCTTCATATATATACTCCTAAACTAACATAAAAGAATATGCATGTTGCTTCTATATGTACATTACATTAATTAGAATCCATGATTACATCGACACACGTGTAGATATAGATGACATCGTGTTCATGAAAAATGCAAAAGACTAGTAGCAAAGAATAGGAAATATAAATTGGATTGCATGAAAGGAACTTTTGAGTTAAAATAAATATTTTTAAATAAATGGCAATTGAAAGTGTTCCCAACAGTAATAAATAAATACGATTTTCTCAGCAAGGAAAACCCGAGACATAACAAGAAAATAAAGTCGTACTTTAGTGCCTGAAGAGGCTGAACAGGAAATGCAAGTAGTGAACTCTCCAAATTGTAAATATCATTGAGCCCATCCTGAAAAGTGAAGACATGGAAGGTGGATATTACGTATTTTAAGGAGTGAAAGCTCAAAAGATTACGTAAACAAATTACATATACAAATACACACGACCCAGAAAATAAAAAAGGAAAACAACAGAGACTTCATTTTAACTTCGTTATAATTGATACCTCCGTATGAAGTGCAGCATCTGAATGATTGGCCCTCACGGAGGACATTCTATCTGCTGGATAACCAACATCTTCACGTCTGTCTTGCTTACTACACCCGATAGGATCCTCTATGTTTGAAATGCCATCATAATCCCGGATCTGCAAGCAACACATTGACAGTAAAAGGGTAGAAAACCAATGGCAATTCTCTCTCAAATGAAATCATTTTCCTAGGTGATCACTGGACTAACTACATACAAGGGCAGCTTGATTCTTCAAATCCTCCAGATTAAAATTCCAGGCACTGATACCTCTAATGTACTCTTGCTGCAAGGTAAAAAGATCTCAGTTTAGGGTATATAGGAAATGCAAGCACCGTTATCTGCAGAAGAAGCTTTCTTTAAATTTAAGCATGTACCATTATCACAATTATGCACGTTATATATAATTACTACAGAATAACCCACATCCCAATTGAGATTTCTACCTTGAATCTAAATTTTCTTTTCCTTTATTTTCTAAATTATTCTATTAAAAAATTAATAAATAAAATAAAATTGGCAACAAAATATGCACTTAATATCTTGATGCTCCATAACTACAATGTAGGCAACGCAAAAATCAAAAGGACAGGACCTCATTATGACACTAGAACCAATTATGTGATACCAACTACATATGTGCTTGTATAAATCTTGACCAATAGGAAGTATGAACTCGACGACAAAATTTTCTATTCACCAAAAAATGGCAGATGAATTTGAATGACAATTAAGATAATCAGATAACGAGAGAATGAATCTATTGGTTAAGATTAAAACTGATGGTATCTGATACTCTTAGGAGCTTCCTGTGAGCAAACAATTTGATGCCATCCATCTTCCACTCTTTATATGAAATTGGACAGCAGCAAATCTTCAAGACCCTCTAAGGAAACTGATGATGAAACCATAGATATCCCCAAGAACAGAATAAACTTAAATTTAGTGAGTGCTTCATAGGCAAACCCATCAATGTTGGGACTGGTGGGATTTTAGCAACAAAGAAAATAGAAGTATTTACAACTTTTCGTCACCTTATGGAAGTAATGATGCTATCAGTATGGAGCTTGGTGCTTTTCCATTTGGTATCTGGTAAAGTGGTTCAAGAATTTCCTAGTTGAGTGGAGGTTCCTCTATGACTACAGTCATCACTAGGGGGCTTCAAGCACCCATGGTAGTAGGATGTATTAGCAGTACTTGACATTCGCATAAACATCAAGTTCAATTTGATAGGGATCATTGTTCTGGCAATGAAGGAACTCAGTTTTCTTGTCTACCATGGAAGAAACTACTGTTCCATCAAATGCCCCTTCCCACGCGAAAAAAAGAAGAAGTTAGTTTATTGTTGGTTTAAGAACATCACTAATTCAAACCCACATTGGTGGCAATTGAAGCCCCCATCTTGTAAAGAAATTCCCTTAGGATAGAACATGAGCTGGTGATGTTTTCCCATTTTTGTCTTTTGTCCTTCGAAAGACTCCTTGTCCTTCCTTTGGATCAACTTTTATTCCTCTACTACCTTTTTACCAGAGAAAAATAAAATAAAAATAAAAAATCCACTAAAACAATGTTGTTTCAAACTATCCCTAAAAGAAACTAGAAAAATAAATCATGAGATAAAAAGAGCTTGTAATTGACCACAAGCGGGTCAATATTCTCAAATGTACTAAAAAAAATGTAACTGCTAAGACAGTAATGAATCTCACATGCAGACCTATGACTAGATACATATACGAGTGCATATAGGACCACCTGAGGCATTTCGATTTAAAATTGAAAATACAACCATAATGAACTCTTTATCAGGATAAATGGCTAAAGTATAAAATTATGCTTCCAAAAATCAACCTCACTATTAGCTAAGAAACATGAGCAGTTCTAAGGAGAAGTCCATCCCTCCGGACACATATCAGCAACTGAAACTTCTTGGATGCTTCTGGACATGAATACAACACACATTCCACACTAAATGGTGATTTAACTTCCGTTCTCGCATCCCTTAAGCCGCTCACCGATCAATTTCAGAAAATTTTAGATTAAAAAATTCTCAAATATTGGCATATGAGTGATACTTTCTTAAATACTAACCAATATAAATTCTTTATAAAATTTCACACTAAATATGATTTTTTTAGTATAAACAAACAAATTAATTATAAGAAAACCAAATTGAAATTTATATAAAATTCCCAAAAAGGGATGACCATATTTTAAACAAGTGTAGAAAAGATTTATTATAGATGCGCGTACTGGTGAAGGAGAGAATACTAATTTATGTGCACATATACATATACATATACAATTCTACAAACACAAACAATAATGAGGGTAGTTACGATTATATAATTTATATAAAATATTTTAGATCAAATCATAATGAAATAATGTTTGTCATATACCATATGATTTCAACATAACAAATGTTTTCACTACCATGCCCTTGTCGCATTCGGTTCTAATTTTTTTTAGATTTGCTTTGTGGTCATATCTAATTCAAATGAAATAATGTCTGTCATATACTATATAATTTCAACATGAAAAAATGTTTTTACTACCATGCCCTTGTCATATTCGTGTTTTACTTTTTCTTAGATTTGTTTTGTGGTCATATCTATATTGTGTTTTCTCATACCCTTACCTTGTATCCATTCCATGCTTCCTGAACTATTAATTATTTTACTGTGTGGCACTTCACTAAGCCAAGAGATTCGTAATTACAGAGTGCACTTCTGAAAAATCCAAAGTTGGAAGTTCTTGTAATGTATTTCAAAACTTTTTCTGTTGCAAAAAGTCTATGACAAAAAAGGTCTAGATACAATATCCAACCCTCAAATTAAAAAAATTGTATGGAGGACCACAAGATCCACTTTTCAAATCTAATCAATTAATTATTACATGCTCATAAAGGCGAGATAAACCCTACCATCTGCGAACACTTAATAATGCTACCAGCATGGATTCAGGCAAAAAAATAATTGTATTGGGCTAGAAAAGTAAGGTTGTAGTACTGCAGATTATATACAGAACACTAGTTTAAAATCAAAAGTCAGAAACACTGTGCTCGCCTGTGATAAATGCTCCTTGTCCCCATATAATGCCTTGTTATGTACAAGCAAGTCGGCTTCTTTTGCCTGAAACAACAAGTCAAAGTAAGATAAGTTGTAACTGGAGTCATACCATCTATTTAAAAGAATTCACAAACTAAAATGACACAGATTAGAGTGTTGCAAGAGACCTTTAGCATTCTAAAACGATCGCCCAGAGGGGAAAGGCCATCAAGGATAGTACGAGCTAGATAATCATATGACCGTGCATGTTTAAAGAAATGGTGCTTCAGAAGCTTCTCTGAAGAGGGACGCTTCTTTGGATCCTTCACTAAGCAAGTAGCTACCAACTCTTTGAAAGACTACAAAGGCAACAGATAGTCAGAAAAATAATAAAAATGCTAAAAGCATTTGTCTAACCATATAAACCTTTGAAAATCTCTTGTCCCTTTCATAGTCAAGACCTGGTGGCGCATTTTGCAAAGTCATCAGCAGAACCTACAATTAAAAAGACAAGGGGAGAAGCATCATGCTGTATAACTGATCCTCAAAAGAATTAGGGTTTATTTGTAGAATGCATACAGATTGTAACTCTAAAATATATATAATCAACCTTCATAGGCGGATACTTAGAAAATGGGGCATGGCCATGAGCAAGTTCAAGTGCTGTTATTCCAAATGACCAGATGTCTGCTCTGTTTACACAAAACTGATCTTAGATGAACTTAAAATTAACAGAAAATAGCTTTGACATATATATCGGACAGCAAAAGTAAAAGGGGAAAATTTTAAAAGGAAATAGAAAAACATAGGTCAGACGTATCACTGACTCACTTAAAGTCATATCCATGCAATTGCTGCATAACTTCGGGAGCCATCCTGAGCAAACAATGCAAAAATAACAAATAATTGGTTCAAATCAACAACATATAACTGTTCCACCATGGATAAATTAATGGTAGACAATAGGACAATGACGGCCTGAAGGGGAATTTGTACCAGCATGGAGTTCCAACAAAAGTATTCCTTGAATGTTGCCTATCCCCAGTATCAAACATGCATGCAGATACTCCAAAGTCCGCTAACTTGACAGCACCATTAGAGTCAATTAATATATTCCCAGCCTGCAAAAATAGATTAAGAGTGTAATACAGTACACAACTAATATCCTAGCTGATATAGTCACCACAGGAAGAACACATAAAAACCTTGACTGACATGCTTAACAAATATGACAGAGAAATTGGAGACATGATGTCATGTAGCCTGTAGGCATAGTGATTAATTTCTTCTAGGGAAATGACAATGCAATCAGATACGATGTTAAAAGTAATTAGAGAAAATGTAAAATTACCCTAAATACTTTTCACATGATTTGGCATCATAGGCCATATTTGTCAGTGAAGGCAATTGAAAAAAAATAATGCATCTGAACATGAGAACAAAATCAACAAAAACCAATTGGACAAGTTAAAAAATTGAAGGAGACAATAATACCTTCACATCTCTGTGAATGTGCCCATGGGCATGAAGATAAACAAGAGCTTTAAGAACCTCACGTAATAACGTAGCAATAACAGGCTCTTCAAAACCTTCTGGATGAGAAGACTTCATTATATGAAGACATGATCCCCCAGCCATGTATGGCATCACGACCCAAAGGTTGTGGCCTGTAGTGAATGAGCAATGTGCTCGTAATAAATTTGGATGATCAATCAATGTCATTGTCTGTACCTCTCGTCGTATACCATCCTGGATAATTTACACAGAAAAAACACTCAATATGACAGAACGTAAGGAATATAATAATTAACACAGAACTCTTGATGGATTATTTTAAAGTTTGGACAAGCATCAACAGCACATGCGCACACACTTTTGCCCTAATATGGAATAAAGAGATGTATTATTAATTTCTTGGTCATGTCATTTGAAGTGAGCAAGACAAATTTCCCCGGAAACAATTTTCTTGCAAGAGGTAAACATCGTACACAAGCACAGATTATGTTTGAACAAATAGTAATGTATGGTTTATATGCTTGCAAAAGGTAATTGAGAATAAGTGGGTGTGTGAGTACCAACTAGAAAAAAAAACTGAGAATAAGTTAACAATAATGCATAGAGCAGTATAACATATTAACAAATAACATGAAGAACAATAGAGAAAGCCAACGACCAAATGTATTAATAAATGTATATATCTGGCAGCTAAAGAGAAACCAACATACCAGGTCATTATTACACTTTTCCAGATCAAGAACCTTGATAGCAACTATCTCATTAAGTGGAATGCAGAGAGCCCTATAAACAGAGGCACTGACGCCTTCTCCAACTTCTTCATACAACTTGTAATCGCTTGCATTAACAGGAAATCTTTTCTCTGAGACCTGTTCCATATTTTCTTCTTATATCATACCACTAACACATTCTTTTCTCTCAAATGCTCCGGAAAACAAGAATAAAATGTGTACTGAGAAGGTGATAATCAAATTACTGGGAGGTTTTTTCCAATATGGTAACATCTTCCATCTGTTCAACACAAAATTCCACTTAACCCCTGTGACTTCATTAAGGAGCCTTTTTACCAAAAACTTTCTAGCAAGTAGACCATTTAAACTTAAAAGGTCCAACTGACCTTGAGAATCCTACGACAACAGCAGATAACAGTCCCGGTACACAGAGAAATTATCATATCCAGCTCTATTCATCGAGTAGATACACAAAGAACCATGAAATAAAGTATAAGCCCAGAAGTACTACAGTCTGCCTAAGCACTTCATATTATTACTCTGCTCTGACAGTGAATAGAAACTTGGGGCAAATCAGACCTGCCCACAAGCGAAAATTTCACACCAAGATTATCTGACTTTGAACTACCAATTCTACTCTGGAACTTCAACAAAAAGTTTAAGGACCAATACTCCTGGACAACAATAGCTGAAGAACCAACACGCCTGGGCAAACAAAAACAAATAATTATTAGGAAATGAACAAAGTAGGCAATAACCAATGTACTAGGAAGGTAATAAACAAAACAAACCATTTCACCAAGCTGATTTATAACTTAACATAAAAAGAAACTACATAGAATTTGCAACAGGAAATAAAATTCCTCTAATTCATATCAATAGCAATTGATACTAGGATTTGAGAAAAGCAAACTATTCCAACTACTTCAGTGATTACAATGATGACATTACTGGACAAGACTACAATGGTCTAAGATTCTGAGTGGCATTAATAGATGTCCATTCTCATAAGTCAATATTAAAAGAATCACGAGTGAATCCAAATGGGTTTCTCAATCTCCAACCACCAAAGGAGGTGCTTTGTAAATGCTGCAGCAGCAGCAGCCCCAGGAGATTGTGGAGCTTCAACCAATGGCAAATAGACATCCACCCATGTAAAGAGGAAAATGAGGATGCCAATTATGAGAATGCAAATGAATTTTACTATTTTTTACAAGTTCAAGATGTTTGTGAATTTTAATATTTCATTTTGTTCGCTATAATAAGTAAAATATAATCAAATGGTTATTCACTATGTCCTCTAATTTAGCATGGAACTGTGAAAGTATCCTTAAAATTTTCAAATCGCAAATACATTGCCAAACACATAAACAACAATAAGAAAACCAGAATATTTGTGAAATGCTATCATTAAAAATAAATTATCATTATAACCTTATCTAAAGATAATTGACTTATGGGGCAAGTAGAACCTTAGTTGAACAGACATTGTATCTCTTTTGTGTTACAATGTCAACACCAAACAATAAAAACTAAATTGAGGAAAGGGAACCTTAAAACTCTAACTACTGACAGCATTTTAGTATGTTATGTCCAAAGAATCAATCATCATTCAATAATCTTAGCAATTATACACTGATATGTTGGAATTGGGATGGTGTGAAGGCACCTATTGTTGCCAAATTCAGAAGCTTTCTTAAACAAAATTGCCACTGAAATCTGTACTGTCAATGCCACATTCAAAAATTGCTTCAGCCCAATACAGCTAAATTACAAAACCCTAGAAAGCTATCCGGTAAGAAAAATGACTTACAGTAACACTTTGTATTAAAAAAATAAAAATTAAATAAGAATTAGATATTATTGTGGAACATCATATGGTGAAACACATCACAATCATTATGATAAAAGGTTAGAAAATTGAGGAGTACGAAAATCTTGAAAATGAAAATTAATCTCCTAAAATGCATCATTAGTTTCTAATGGTAAGAACTTGCCATGGTCCCAGCTTATGCAAAATTCTCCTATGAACATTATTAGTTGATATAGTAATTGAAATCAGCCAGTGAACCAACGTGATCAATTACACATACCACAAACAAAACAAAACAAAACCCAGACTACAATGAGCCAATTGAAGTTATTTTAATCCACCAAACAAAAACGATGTAATCATCAAATTTTAACCTCAAAAAAACCGATAAAATACTTATGAATCCCAAAAAAAAAATGCAGTGAATTGGAGAATATTAATTACACATATAGTGACTAACTAACGAATCCAATATAAATGAATATATATATATATATATACACACACTCGAATATATAACGATGTTTAATCATTTTACCGGTTGAATTACAGATTTATCGATGAAAGTACCGAACTAGGGTTTCGCTACCAGGACCTGAACAATAACTGAATCTAACTTCGCTCAGATAAAAGATAAACCCCTGTAACGACTCTGCAGATGATAATCTTCGGCTAGTCCGCCATATACGATGTAAAGATGGGAAGATAATCACATATATAGTTCATCCAACACTTCTTGTCTACAGTTTTTGCGATCGAATCTTCACCGTTAAAAACATACCACCACGATGACAAAGAAAGGGAGAGAAAAAAAAACAAAAACAAAAAAATGAAATACCTTTTTTCTTTTTTCTTTTTTCTTTTTTCTTTCACAGTACCTGCTTGGTAGCAGAGAATATTGGGAAAAATATAATGAAAGTTATAACTTATGAGGTAACAAGAGAGAGAGGGGGACTGGGGGAGGGGGGAACAACAGCGATGCAATTTGTAGTGGGACCGGCATGAGGACGAGCTTAGTAGGTGAATCAAAACGGTGTCGTGTGATCAGATTGTATTATCGATATTTTATTACTCCGAAAAGCTATCATCACACGAGACTATGAGAGGGATCAATCATTGGTCAACTATCAAAATATGATTCGAAAATGAGAGTAAATTATAAAAAATCTTCCACCGGTAGGTAACTCATAAAACAATCTTTAAGAATTCAGAAATTATAAAACTATTTTTAACAATGTTAAAAACAAGTATATCATAAAAATAGCAGAATTTTTATATAATTTTTTTAGTTTTCTAAATGACAAAACTATATAGAGAAAATGAATTTGAGAGAGTCTATGTTTTATAAATTCAGTGGATTAGGGGTTGGAATCATATTTGAAAATTTTCAAAGTAGAAAATGCAAGACAATCAAATGTTGTAAGGAAGCAATATACGAAATACGAATATAATGTCATACAGGTTTAGAGATATGACAAATTTCAAACAGGATACAAAAAAATTAGATTTATATATGTAATGTATTTTTGGTCAAATTTTTTAAAATATTATTATTTCCAATGCATATTAAATATGAATTTGTTTCAAAAAATATAAAATAAGTATCCTTAATGATATATTTTAAATTTTTCTTAATAATTATACCACAATATTATTGCTCAAAAAATTACATTTTAAGTTTAAAACTTGTTTAAAGTATGTTTTGAATTATCTGAAAAATATCAAATACTTGGTCAAAGTATTGAGAAAGATCGAATACATTGAAGTATACGAGAAGTATCGAATACATCGAAGTATACGTGCTAAAAATTTAAATATATAATTTAAAGTTATGAATACGTTTAAAAAATATTAATATCATATATATATTCACAAGTATTCAATAAGTGTGAATATTCAATATATACATAATATGAATACATCAATCTTGTAAAAATATCCATACTTCATAGGACTTTTATCTAATGGTTATATTCCACGGCTCACTAATAGAAGGGTGCGAGTGAAAAACAGTTGATGGTAGAAGGAGGTATATGTCCAAAAAATTGGTAGATGAAATGATAGGTAAAAAAATAGTTGTAGTTGAGGATTTTTTTTTTTTTTTTTTTTTTTCGCAATAAAAGGACTAGGTTCCTCTCAATGAAAGGTGTGGTGTTGTACTTTTAAGTGCATCAAAACCGCACTTCAACACCAGCACCGCTTGAGGATGAAATACTAGAACATCATTGCAATGACAACACAAATAAGAAAAATAAGAAGTACCACTCCTATTATAATAAGTTTTATTATTATTATTTACAAGTTTTAGAACTACTAGGAGGAATTAGTAAAATGACGCGAGGAAAGAATGAAATGAAATGGAATGATTCATATTCTCTCATTTGATTATACATGACTTAAAAAAGAAAATTATCTATATATGTAAAACAATTAAATATATATATTTATATATGCGTAACTATATATATATATATTTTTTCTTCTTCTATTTCTTTTCAGGAATATCAAGAGAAGTTGCCTTTTTATTATCAACATATGTTAAACGTAAATTGTAAAATTTTCTACAACTATTACATAATATATATATATTTGGTTATGCATGGTTTAAAAAAGAAAACTATCTATATATGTAAAACAAATAAATATATATTTATATACGCGTAAATATTATATACGCGTAAATATATATATTTTTATTATCACCGTCAATGGATGCAAATCGCTGGCTTATTAGTCGTCGATCAACTTCAATGGATGCAAATCGCCCGTTGATATCAGATTAGTAGTCGATTGATTTCAATGGATCAAATCACAGGCTAATATCATATCCGTCAATTGACTTTAATAGCTAATTTTGGGCTGATTTCGGATTGACTGTTGACCGCCTTCAATAGTTGATCTGGTCTTCAATGTTATTTAACATTGATGGCCTTTAATGTCTTATTCATAATGCAAAACTGATGGGGCTTGACCTCTTGGGTTGTTCGAAAAATATGTTTGCAATTATATCGTTCAAACAAAAAGATTTTTAATATTATTTTTACTCCATATTTTTTAAGTGGGAATGGATTGTCCATTTATCTTGTTGGGAAATGGAATGATTTTGATAGAATGATCATCCTCCAAGAAAGGTAAAAAATGGACATTTCATTTTTTAAATTACTTTCCAAACTAAAGAATGAAATTAAAATCACTTTATTTCATTTCATTCTCACTTACCAAACTAGCCCCAAGTAGAATACATACATATATAGGAGTATTATACATGCACCAAATGTTACATGTCTCAGTGGTCTCACAAAATGGGTTACGTTGTGTTTGAAATATACCTGTCTAGTGCTTTACCCAAAACTCGGTTCCTATTGAACACGGCTTCATTTTAGAAGGGCCTGCTTGTTGAGTACTGTAGGCTCGGACCCACAAACATATACAGAAGTGAAGAACATGCCCGTTGGGACCGGACACATTGGTCCTGCTGTTTCGTTAAGTGACCCGTCTGTGTGGACTGTGGACTGTGGACTATATACTAAACCAACAAGCCCACGTTTTGTCCATTGTAACTTCTGCTACTCACATACTTGTGTTTTTCTAAGTAATCTTATCCAAAAATGTCGGTAGTTCAGTATGTAATCACTCCGCCCCTATAACTATAATACTTAAAATATATATATATATACATATTTCTTCTTTCTTTTGGATAACTTATTTTGTTCCAATGTTTTAACATGAATTTACTATTAAAAGTGACGATAGAGATGAGATGAGTTGGACAAATTCAATTGATTTGATGTGAATAGGGGTTGACGTGTCAAAAAAATAGCAAAATGTTTTTTTTTTTTTTTTTTTTTGGGAGAAAAGTACAATCACACACACCTAAGCTTCAACCGGGACCTTCCTTTAAAAAGTTGAAGTTGGTACCTGGGACACTTGGTCATTTGGTAGTAGAATTTTTTGTTGAATATTAAAAAGTTATTTTCTTTCTTATTTGGAACATAGTGTGTGTATATATATATATATATATATTAACATGTTTATATATATAAATATATTGTAACCTTTAGGTTCTACAACTGGATTACTTTATATGTTATGATAATAGTATAATTGAAATTTGTTTGGCTTTACCGATGTATATATAAATGACAAGGATGCACATATTTTCTCCTTGTGCCCTTTAAGGTTAAGGTCTCATGAATCATGATCATCGACTAGGTAGGTATTCGCTTAGGAATAGATGCATTATATAGGAGTTGAGTCAGAATTTGATTCTTATGATCGAGATGTTAGTGTATATATCATCATCAATAAGGTATTGTTTGGAGATTCTTATGATGAGTCAGAAATCGATTCTTAGAATTAAAGTTGAATTTATAGTGACCATGTTGGCCTGTTAAACCATAACAACCCTGCACCTCATAAGAAATCGATTCTTAGAATTAAAGTTGAATTTATAGTGACCATGTTGGCCTGCTAAACCATAACAACCCTGCACCTATTCCAACAACCACCACTTTCTCTCAAAAAACAAGACTAGTTTTTTCTCATTTGGCATCATAAAACGACTCTAACCTCAGACGAAATACACTAGCATCTCCCTCTATATATACACACATATATATGTTATATCCATAATTTAAAATGCCAATCATTTTCATGTTTGCAGGTTACTTCTTTATATCCTCCACAAATTTTGTCAAACGTTTTACATGTGAAGAGAAACTGCAAAAACTTTTAAAAGAATCTTCAAAAAAGCGTTTTGTTTTTACATGAAATAAATTCAGCAACTGCTATTAAAAGTCTAAAGAAGATTAAATGTACCAATCTTATATTTTCATACCAAAAAAAAAAAAAAAATTTGAAGTAATTTTCCATTTCAATCCCGTAGACTTTAAAGTGTTTAGAGGGAATTAAAAACTGTCCTACATTCCAATATTACAAGCACTCAATTTTACCTTTGGTGAATTTGCTAAGAATAAAACACATGCCAAATATATATATATATATATATATATATATATATATATATATATATATATATATATATATATAATATACACGCACAAATATATGGGCACACATACGAAATGTATAGCAATTGCCATGAAATTTCCTATGGGCAATCAAGTGCACAATGTATTGGGATTCCTCAGTTGAACTCACTTGAAACACATGGATTACCTTTCACGTTCTTATTCCAAGTTTTAACTTCCCACTATCTAATAGATAAACATACATGTAATAAAATATTATATATGCTTTTGAAAGACCAGGAAAAAGGATTTAAATCTTTTTGAGGTTGTATAAATATAAAATAAAATCCGAACATTCTCTTCAAAATGGTTGACTAAGGCCGCCAGTTTTGAAGATACCCAGTATCATAACAGTGGAAACCATATATGGTGGTGGTTGGTGATCGCATGCAAATATAATTGTACAATGAAGAAGAAGGGCATAATTTCTAAGTCGACCCTGTTTGGTGGGGGAGAGAAAAAAAGAAAAGAAAAGTGAATAGAGGTGTGCATGTATCGATCTCGTATGTACAAAATTCTCTTCCACCCAAAAGTTAAAATATATCTTGGAAAAAAGAGAATGTTGAAGTGAAATATTAATATCATGTTTATTATCACTAATGTCTCAAATTTGTTATATAATGATTAAATAATCTATCCTACTTTTGCCGTTTCTTTATAACTCAATAATACATGAAAAAGATTCATCCCTTTCTGTAGGGGTACTTAGTAGACCTCTCTACTTTGTTTCAAATTTGCTTTGAAGTAAAAGGAATGAAAGAAAGGCCTGTTGTTACTTTCAGCTTTCTAAATACATTTCTTAAACATTCAAAAAAACATAGAAAAATGTTTTTACATAGATAATTATAAGATTTGTTTTGTAAAAAATAAATAGAAAACATTTTTCTAAAAAGTGTTAACCAAACTATTTTTTGTATAATTTTTAGGTCTTTGTTGAAGAATTGAATAAATTTCTAATACCAATTATAAGGTATGAGTGTTTCGTGACTATACCTAAAAATTTAAGTTATTAACTTCTAATCGAATTTGATGTGAGACACATCCTTTTATAACAGGCTGCTTCTACAATATATATATATATATATATACATATACACACACACATCGGTTTGAATTGCATTGCATTTATTAAGCAAACTGTTTTCCTACGTAATTGATTGTATTCATTTCCTAATTTTGTGGACAATAAATGGCCATAAACTTCAATTTGTAGGAGAAAAATCAACCAACTCTACAAGGACTTTACTGCCAAACCACTTGTAGGAGAAAAATCATTGATGGCGGCCGTACTTCAATAAGCACAAAATTTAGACGAATAACCTAGACCACATTTATCATTACTTTCTGAATAATCAAATGGGTTGGAAAATTTTCCAAAACTTATTTGATTTGATGATATAGCTATGGTATGTCTTGCGTTGAGTTGCGTAGGTTAGGGCTGCGGATATTGTAGGACAGAAAATGGAAATAATAATTTGTAATATACTTTTTCTTTCTTTCTCACATTATTTTGAAAGAGGAGGAGCCAAAAAAAAAAAAAAATTCAACCAGGAGTATACCAATTTCCATAGAGATTGAAAAATTAGCTATTATCAATTCATATATGCATAATTACTTCTTCATTCAAATCCAATAAAACAAGATTTCTTCGCATTACCTCTATAAATACTAAATAGTATAACAGTTAACATTTTATTTTAAAAGGTAAACAACTACAATCTTTACTAGCAACACTTTCATTCTAAATCACTGCCCACAAAATTTGAAAAAAAAATGTCATTAAAACTTAATAGGTGAGATGAGGAGTTTTACTAAATTATTAAATGATTCTGTTCATTGAATGAGTTAATTGCGACATTATTAGGTGTGTAATCCATGGTCCCCCTTAAGTCAGTTTCAAGACTTGATAGGTTTCTATCTCCATCCACGTCACGCGTTGCTATTGTTATTCCTATGGGGGATAGCCCTCTAGAAGGTCCACGGTTAAACGGTCCATAAAAGATAAACTCGCCTTAATTTCCAGTTCTTGGTGGACTTGCAGCTGAACGAGAGTCACCACAGACCATTCTTTTTCAGTCAATCCATCCAAGACAACGAAAGGTAACCCATGGAGCGTGACAGATCCGGATTCTCGTGAAACCAATCCCATGGAGTCGGCCTCACCCACTTATTAATGGAAGAACCGTGTTAATGTTCTAATGACCGACAATTTAGTTGAATTGTTGCTTCATGTGGTATGTGACAACTGTTTTCAAGTTGTATAATGACATTTTTTTTATTAAATAAAATTTTTAATTTATTTTTTCGACAATAACAGTGGTGGACCATCTATAGAGCACTTCATAATCTTTTTTATTAATTAGGTATATTCATCTATTGTTTCTCTTCAAACTGATCCTAAGACATTTCAAATTTCTAACTTAAAAAACTTACACCCTGTACGTATATGTAAAGTGATTTTTAAAATTAAAAATTATCTTGAAATTATTATTAAATAACTAATAAAAAAAACTATTTATATTCCAAGAACTCAAAAACATGCACCTTATATCATGAATCATTATTATTTGTCTTTCATTTTATTTATTTATTGAATTGAGCTTTCAAAAATAGTAAAATTCGAAAATAAATAAAAGTTGAACCATCTTATGTTCAATTTTCAAATAACAATTTTGTACAAAAAATCAACTAATTGAATTGAAACAAAATGTTTGAGTATGTTATTTTCTTTGATAAAAGTGGAAAAAAAAAAAAAAAAAAAAATCAACTAATAAAGAATTAATAAGACAAAGCTCAAAAACAAAGGTAGTATTTTAAAGGTTTTAAGCAAACACGGGGATAAAATAAAAATTTAACGAATAAAGAATTATAAAAAATTTGAATATGATGATTTTTATTGAGTGATATGGTGCATTTAAAGTTATAAAATATATACAATATTTTAAAATTATAAATAAATTTGTGCATTTTTATTGAGTAACATACCAACAATGTATCAGGCGTGATCATCGAATATCATGGATGGTTAATCCAACACAACATGCGCACAGTATGATTTACATGTGAGATGTTAATTATTAGGTTTAACGAGGACTATCAAAATTCAAGTGGTAATGTGATACGATGTGGGGACTGTTTCTAGAAACACACGTGTCAACTTACCGTTTGCATTGTGCGTTTGAAGAGAGAATTAAATACGAATTAAATAGTAGTATAAAAAAAAGCGTCAACTCAACGATTCTACAACGAGTCACAACTCACATACGCTCATAAACACGTGACCTTCCCACTATTTTCGCTCACACCCACTTTTCCCAAGCACAGCCTCCCATCCCATATAAAACCCTCTCAACTGACCCCTCACCTTTCTCCTCACCTTCTTCTCATTTCTCTCTCTAAAACACACACTCTCTCTCTAGAAACATGGACGAAGAGCAACAGATGCAGGAAAACGATTCTCTATCTTTTTGCCCTAGCTTCAATAGCTACACTTCACATAGATTTGCAGAAATCGCTTCAGAAGTTGGTGAAAATTTAGGAGAGGGACCTCATGTGGAAACCTCAAATGAACCCGCCGACGACGATGGTTTTGAATTCGCAATAGCAAGGAGCGATCTAGATGGTACTGGAGATGAAATCTTTTACGACGGTCAAATTCGTCCGATTTTTCCCATTTTCGATCGCAATCTTCTAACACGTGAAGATCAAGATCATGATCAGACTGAGTCTGATGTCCCGGCGATTCGAATTCCATTAAGTAAGTTATTCGTCGAAGATCGTGAACCTTCGTCGGTGTCGTCGTCCGAAGCTGACGAATTGGAAAGTGTACCGCCGGGCACGTACTGCGTTTGGAGGCCAAAGGTAGTGGAAGCATCGCCGAGCCGATGCAAGAAGAGCAATTCGACTGGATCGGCATCGAAACGGTGGAGGTTTAGCAATTTACTCCGGCGAAGCAACAGCGAAGGCAAGGACTCCTTCGTGTTCATGACTCCGAAGAGTAGAGAACAAAAAGGTGATAAATTTGATACTAATGTTAAAGAAAGGGGAGATGCCGTGAAGGTCACCGCGAAAGTGAAGGCGAAGGGAGTCGCCGGCGGAGAGAAGGCGACGCCGTCGTCGTCAGCTCACGAGGAGTTTTATGTGCGGAACAGAGCGATGAAGGAAGATTATAAGAAAAAATCTTTCCTTCCGTACAGGAAAGATCTTGTAGGCTTCTTCGCTAATGTGAATGGGTTGAGCAGGAACTTTCCTCCTTTCTAGAGGTCTCTCCCGCTTTTTAAACGCCATTTTTATACAGATATAGCTTTTCTTTTGGTTTTTTTCCTGGAAAATGTATATATAAATTTTATGTATGCAATTTTAAGAGCCGGTTTCATTTTTAAGATTTTTACAGTATTTGGTTTAATTTTACTCCGTATTTATCTTTGCTTTTATGGATGTCCGGTCCCCCATAAATGTGTATTCTGATAAGTCTACATTAAATGATGTAAAATTTTGAAAATATCCACTTATCAAATCTATGACATGAAGTCTCAAGGTCATAAATGTTTATAAGTTTGTGTGGTGTGAAACGGTTTAGCGACATCCCAAGTAACATAACGCACTATGACATTGAATGAATTCGCTTAACAAAAAGTGCACACTGATTAATTTGTTTTTTGAGTTGCAAAAAAAAAATTTAATTTGTTTTTCAAGAAATGTGTTGGTACATTTGCTTTTCACCAAATAACCAAGTATCTTTTTTATTTTTTTTAAAATTATTTTATCAAACTAAAATGAAGTGGCATGATGTGAAACTACATTAAGTGGCATGATCTGAAACTACTCAACTTAATGTACGTATTGATTTGCTATTAGAGAATAAGGAAAGTAGTTTTTACTATTAGAATAATGAAAAGTCCTTTGAAAGTTTTCCAAAGTCTGGAAGTATTTGATTGTCTTGTATGAGTATTAATGATATTTTCGTGATATCGTTAAATATAATAATGTTATTATAATATTATTTTTTATTTATATAAATTTAATTAAATTTGTTAGACTATAGAACTTTTATATTATTACTCTATAATTTAGAATAGCAATTCTTTTAATATATTTTTTTATTATTAAATTTTTGGTGTTTAGTTAGCTTCTAGAATTAGAAAAATATTGTAGAGGTAAGATATTTTGCGTGAAGAATGAGTTTGTGCATTTAAAATTTATAGGTCGGTTTTAGTCTCCACATCAAAAACGGACTACCCGAGAAACAAAAACAAAGAAAGGAGAGCCCTAATGGATGGATGCTTAGAGGAAGCTAATTCAAGGGTCAAGATTGAACAAATAGAAATCCAATGGCTGTGATAGATCTAGGTTTATCGATATATGAAGAGCCATTAAAAAAATAAAAAGTTAAAAGAGCATTCCCTTTTTTTGGATTTATGCTTAAGTGCATATATATAAAAAAGGTTTTGCCTGAAAAATATTCTAAAAAAATGTTTTACGTTTCCGTACTATTACAATAATAATAATAAAAGTGTCCTTGGCTTGTTTGTTGTTTGGCTGGAAATCCACGATCTTGTATCTTGGTGGATACTTCATGATCCAAACTCCGGATTATCAGGTGACTCTCTATTTATTTTCTAAGGATAAAACGAAGAGCACACATGCGTGTGTGTGTGTGTGTGTGTGTGTGTGTGTGTGTGTGGGTGGTGTGGTGTGTGTGTGTATATATGCTTGAATGTACTACAGAGAGTACTTAATTTTACATTCTAGAACATTTTGAAAAGTAAGATAGAAGCAAAGAACTGTGTGTGTGTGTATGCTTGAATGTACTGCAGAGAGTACTTAATTTTACAATCTAGAACATTTTGAAAAGTAAGATAGAACAGAAAAACAATTGTGTGTTGACTAATTGCTAGCGAGCTAAATAATTATTACTCCGTATATAGGTAGCTGTGATTAAATTTAAGCTTCATTCAAATCGGCATATTTTATAGTTTTTTATTTTAACCTAATTTGTTGAAACTTTTTTCACATTATTTCTTGAAGGCTGGTCAACATTCTAACACTTCTTGTAATATGAATATAGGCTATATAGCTCATATAAAATCGCCTATAAATTCTGAAAACTCCAATTTGTTTGGTTAGTAAGGACTAGTTAGAAAGAAAAAGAAGAAGAAAATATTTAAAATATCTATGCGTTTGATTAAATGAAAAGTGAAAACTTTTGAGAAAGTAAGATTCTGCTTTTGTGAATTTTTTTTATAAAATTTTTAGTATAAAACACGCAAAAATTTACTTCCTCACAAAACTTAACTACTTTATATTTTAGTTTCCTCTTGTGCCCTTGTCAATTATTTCTCCCCTTCACTCTTCTTCACTTTCTCAGTTTCTTCATGTTTCTCTCATTGATTCTCTCCATTCTTCAGTTTGTCACAAACTTCACGCAGACGTAGATTTCTTTATGTAAATTGATATAATTCTAATTTAATTATTTATATTTTTATATATGCGTATAAAATTAATTTTTTATTATTATTATTTTAGATTCTATAATTAATAATAATTGAGATCGAGTGATATACATACATTTTTTTTACTATTGGTGTTGTAGGCGATTGGGATTCTTAGTTTGATTGGAAACTTGCGATCTCCAGATTTTAGATATTAATAAAAATAATTATATTATAATTTTTAATAATATAATATTTTACTTTCCTTTATTTTTATTTTATTTTATTTTATTTTGTTAAAAATGGATGTAAACAATTAGGTATAAAGTGATTTATCAAACACAAATTTATTTTATTTTAAAATATTTAAATTCCTAAGGATAGTTTTGGTAATAGAATCATTTTCTTTTCATTTTCATCCTATCCAAACTAACAAAGTAATATTTTCTCACAATTTTCTTAAAAAATTTTCTTCCTAACCAAATGCACACTAGAAACTTGATTTTCTTTTTCTTTACTTCACTTTCTTTCACTTTTACTTTCTATCGTAAATTTCTATCTAACCAAATGGACTATTATATGGACAAATAAAAACTTTTGTCAATAGACCGTTAATGGGTTGATAAAAATACTAAAATGTCCTTCTCACAATTAAAAATAATAATAATAAATAAAAATTCAGTTAATATAAAATTACTATTATATCCTTTATTTGTGAGATTTATATACAAAAAGAAATGGCGTTTTGAGATTCAAAAAAGGATATTTTTTATATTTATTAAATTTAATAAGTCATGTGCCAAGCAAATATATTTTTAACAGTACAATTTTAACCGTAAAAAAATATTTTTTATAATATTTTTAAATTCTAAAAAAATTATATATCCAAAATAAATATATATGTATTATTTACTTAAAAAATAAATCTTAAGAATGTTTTAGATACTTAATCCTTTCTAATTATTTCCTAAAGAAACACCGTTTCCAATCATTTATCAAGTGAGGACAAGAATGGAAAAGTACTACGTAATGCATCAGGACAAAGAAATGAGTTACCATCTTTTCTCTTTATTTGCTAGTGGGGCGTCATTTTCTACTATATGTAAAACCATGAAAGTGATAATGATCAGATAGCTACAACAGGTGTTAAAAACTCACTCTATTAACAAATAACAATGACTGTTTGTTTGGTGGGAATCATTTTCCAACCTTGAAAGCCATGTTACCTCTTTTGAGTATTGAGATTAAGCCTTTTAAGCCATTTTTCGTTTTTTGGTTCTATTTTAGCTATATATAACTTTGCTGCGTCAAAAAGTTCAGAACTTATCTCATTTTACCTTGAGTATATTGAGTATATACTTTTTTTTTTTTTTTTTTTTTGTACAGGTTCATATTCTTTTAACTTCCTCAAATTATATTTTTAGGATATGATATGCACATCCTTCAAACGCTCCATTTTCTGGTGAAGATGGCTCTGATGATGGTTGTGTTGGTGTCATGCAGTGCAAAAATTGAGTGTCATATGAAAACTAGGGAGGTGTAATTACAAAATCAACAGGTTATTTTTTGAAATGATTCAAAACATATTATTACTATGACGTATAACTAAAAAAATTAAAATATTTAAATTTTATATTTCTAAATTTATTTGGAGTAAGTATTTAGTGTGTCCAGTGCATCGAGTGCACTGAATATTTATTCGTTTGTTCGACATATATTAGATATTATAATATATTTAAGCATGAATTTATACTCCATCCCGTTGATTGAGAAGGTGATACAATGTTTTTGTTTTGAATAGTAAAATTAATGTGTAAAACCTTTTAGGATTCAACATTACCAGCATTAAAAATGAAAAACATTACCCGCATTAAAAATAAAAATAAAATAGTGTGTTAATATAAAGGGAATTTTCTTTTCTCATTTTTCTTCCATTGAAAGAGACATCTCACTTTGCCATGGCAAGTGGGAGTAGAAAATGGGAAATGCGTGATTGATTTGACAGCATGTGATTTAGCTAAAATAACTACTGGTAAAAATAGACAGCATGTGATTTAGCTAAAATAATTACTAGTAATAAATAGACAGCATGTGATTTAGCTAAAATAATTACTAGTAATAAATAGACTACTTGGTGCTGGAAAAATAAAAAAATAGACTACTCCGTGGATTATTATAACTAAAATGACGTCATTAGTTTGAGCACCTTAGCATGGCCATGAGTCTTATGGTCGGTTTCCAACCGACCACATGTCTTCTTTTTCTTGTAGGATGTGAACAAATGTGGGCCATATCATATCTACAAACGCTCAAATAATCCAAAATTGTGATGTTCATACCATATAAATTTTGAAAGAAGATTCATTTGAAAAGTCGTAGGCAGATGATGAAATGATTCTATACAGTTTCGATCGAAAGGAAAGTAAAATTTCTATATTAAATTCCAAACAATTTAAAAATTAAGCTTGATAATCCAAAGAGTGTGAACGAACTATTAAGTTGCGACAAGGATACTTGTAGGAAACTCAATGAATATAGGAACAATTCATCACTTCTTGTCCCATTACAGAAGCTCTTATTCACCCAATAAAATAAATTTTATTTTTAAAATTTTTTTGGTATAAATTTTAAACATAACTAGTATTTTTTAAGTGTATATATTAAAATACACATATTAAACATTGTATCATAAATAATAAAAAAAATATTTCGTTCAAATCAATTTTTAAAAGATTTTTTTTAATAAATATACTTATATCAAATGAATTTATAACTCATTATTACAATGTTTGCCGTACAATGGTTTTGGGATGTCAAAACTAAAAATATTATTATCGAAATGATGAGTCTCATTATGTCTACACTACACCATTTACACGATTTTTTTTTTTTTTAAATCTACAACATTTAAGCTATTATTATTAACCTATTATTATCCGTTTGATTTTATT